CGGTTTTCAGCCAAACCCAAAATATTTCAACCAGAAAATAAAATATCTCTGAAATGCTGCCACAGTGCATCCTGGGAGTTGTAGTTCAGGTGCCTCATGCTCCTGTTCTCCTCTGTGTGCTATACTGGGCTACCCCAGCCAGCCTTCATCTTCCCTGATGCGCACTGTGGCCATGCGACTCTCATGAGGCTCTCATCAAAAGGGGAGAGTATGGTGCATCATGGGAAATTTAGTCTAACCATAGAGTCAGGGCCATAAAGGAGCATGGGAGCCTGAGGCACTCTAACCGCAAGTCTCATGAGGCACTACAGTAGCATTTCTGAATCAAAATTCTTTGTTTTTTTGGATAAAGTATTGTGATTAGTTATATTTTGCTGAAAACATGAAATTTTCTCTGGGACTCCACCTCCCCTCCATTTTCCGACCAGCTCCATCTCTGAGTGACTTTTAAGCTTCATTAGCAGCATTAATGTACTTTTCACTCAGTCTTCTGTTGTTAATCACTCGCCCTAGCTTAGTTTTGATTCCATCAAAAATGTCCTCTACAAATGCAAATGTACTTCACTTTAAAAAAAAAAAAATTCCCTGCAGATCTTTCTCCTGAGTTGCATCTGCCGCAGTGTCATCTTCTGGTTACCATAATGGACAAGCTGCCCTCTCAGTCTGAGGCTGTGCAGGCTCTCTGGACCACAGGAAGCCAGTTCTCAGCAGAGGTTCCCAGGTAATTTTTGCCTACAGCAGTCAAGCTGCACAGGCAGACATGGGGGTTCAGGTGCAAGAGGCCCCTCAAGCTAGCAAATCAGTAGCATTAGCAGGCTCTGAGGGCGCACTGTCTGATCCTTGGCCATATGTGCTGGTGGATGTGATGTAATTCCTCAAGGGTGCACAGTACAAAGCAGAGATGCACTGGTCAGTTGAGGGAAAGGATGGCCTTTGGGCTCATGCAAGGATGTGGAAGGCCCTCAGGGTCGAATTTGTTTTTATCTCCAAAATTGGTCAACTTTCCCTCAAGTCAGCGTGTTTATTTATTTCCCTGTAGCAGGCATGCCATTTACTGAGCGCCCCCTCATGGCCAGAGGTGCCTCAGCAGTGCCCTGACTCTGTGCTTCCCCTGGGTCCCTTTGGCAACTCCCCGCAGTCTTTCTCAGGATGCCTCAACCCACCACCTGGGGTTGTGTGAATAGATGAAAGCAGTTCAGAGTAATTCTCAGTGTCCCCAGAATAAAGTTAATTACAGCAACACAAAAGTTCATGCTCACTTCCCGCTCTTTTGCTGTACGCAGAGCTCTTATTCTACCCCAGACTGTTGTTCACGGAGTTGCCAGTCCTGTCCTTCCTAGTGGGAGCTCAGTCTCCTGGCTCTGGCTTCCTTCTCCCTGTCAACTCACTCTCTGTTCTGAGAGAGTGAGAGTAATATATATACTGTGCTCCTTCGGAGATCTTCCCCCTGATTGGTTAGGGGAGAGGGGAGCCTGCCCAATCCTATACTACAGGGCTTCTCATCCTGGCCCTTAAAGGGACAGTGACTGGATTTTTCCTAACCAAGTACTAATTCCCCAGGATTGCTTCCTCTCTTCTTGCTACAAGGCCATTTCCAGGGCCTCTGTTTATTCCAATGTCCCTGGAACAGGATCTCCTGGCCCCCTCTAATTGTAAAGGGCCAGTGTACCCTGTTACAGCCCCAAAAGCCTCTGCTAATCACCTGAGTTTATAAACAGAAAGTTAATCAGAGTTGTAAATTTGTTACTGTAAAAATATTGGTGTTATTGCCACAGCTCCCAACAGGAGACAAGGAGTTCCCCTAGCTCAGATGTTTGTTCTTGGGGTGTGAGGTGTGGACAGCAGTAACCCCACTCTTTCATTGTTCTGCAGGCTCTCTTTGTTCTCAGCCCTTTTTCTCGGTTTCCAGCAGTGCTCTGGTGAGCTCTCTCTTCCTGTTTGTTTGCCTGGAGTGATGGATAATGGACAAGCTGAGGTTCCTGTCACCCTGTATCACCACTTCTGTGTCCACTTGTGTGCCTTCATTGCATCCACACCCCCATCACACTTTCCTCAGCTGGTAGGTTGATTTTTGGTTTAGCCATGATCACCTTTTCAGCTGTTTCCTTCTGGTGGATTTTAACTTTTTCAAAAAGTGTCCCCTTCCTCACACACCGAGCTCCAAAGGTGATGTGTCCAGGCATGAATTGGTTTCGCTTTACTTCAGAAGGCAGATACAAGGCAAGTAAGACTGCAAATGTGCAGCAAATGTCATTTACCAAAAACAACTGTATAATCGTGGTTGGAGACCTCAGTTGTATTAGAAATCTGTTTGTAAAACCACAAAAGGAGTGCAAAAATCCAGCTTCTTTAAAAAAGCTGTTTAGTACTTCCTTTTAATACAAGTTCTGAAGGTGATCACCTCCCTAAGACTCAGAAATTCCAGCTTCAGATTTTATCTCCTAGAGGATAGGCCATCACAACTACTGTAACATAGGCTGAAAGTCTTTTGGTTCTCCACCTTCAATTTGGGGCCATCTGGCTGGAAATTTACAATTCCATGAGCCAAGGGTATTAAGTTTGTCAGTGTTTTACTCATTCACAGTGCACGTAAATGAGGAAGTGTTATCTAGTGATCAGAGCAGTGGCCTACTAGTCTACCACTGTATTTTTGTGATCCAGTTCAATCCTGTGCCATAAAAGGGAAATAAGTAGTTAAGGTCAGAAGGGACCGTTATGATCATCTAGTCTGACCTCCCGCATGATGCAGGCCACAAAAGCTGACCCACCCACTCCTGGAATAATTCTCTCCCTTGACTCAGCTATTGAAGTCCCCAAATCATGATTTAAAGACTTCAAGTCGCAGAGAATCCTCCAGCAAGCGACCCCTAATAAGTCCAGGAAGGCATAGCCTTGTGTGTGTGTGTTTCTGTAAATAATACAAAAAAATCTTTTCAGACAAAAAATTAGGACTAACTCCTGAATTCCTCACTCAGAGTAAACTCCTACCGAGGCAATCAGATGTTTTGCCTGCCTAAGTACTGAATAAGGATAGCGTTTGGTCTTAAGTTAAGTTTAGATCTGCCCCCCAAAAAGGATAAAATTTTCATGAAAAATTTGTCCCTCTTTTTTGTCCAAAATTCTAGCAAAAAAATTAAGCCTATTTTTCATTGAAAATTTTTGAAATTTTCAACCAGTTGTAGTAAATTTTCACACATGGCCAATGTTAAAAATAAACCTAGTGTTGCTTGCTTGCCTTTATAACTGAACATGCGATATTAAAGCCAGTTTGCTCCTAGGCATTTTAACTGCACAAACTGACAAGTCTAATTCTATATGCAGTGTAGTTGTAGCCATGTCGGTCCCAGGATATTAGACAGATAAGGTGGGTGAGGTAATATCTTATATTGGATCAACTTCTGTTGGTGAGAGAGACAAGCTTGACCAGAAGAAGAGCTTTGAGTGGCTCAAAAACTTGTCTCTCCCACCAACAGAAGTTGGTCCATAAAAGATATTACCTCACCCACCTTGTTAGTCTAATTATGTGTCACACTAGTAAGTGGATTAACAGTAGAGAGTAGAATTGCAATCTGTTCATAAGTGTCTTCTCTATTCTTTCCTCAGGAGCGTGCTCTGCTGGATGCAGTCCTTGGTTCTAGTATGATCACCTCTCTACTGGCTATGGATTCATGGTGCTTCCTGGCCCGGTAAGATACCCAATTATTGTAGGGCGAGGAGCAATGCACTGTATTGTTCAGGCTGCATGAGCATTGGCTTCCTAACTGCATGGTTTGAATTGCTCATAATTCTCAGAAAGTTTAACTTGTAGAGCAGCCATGTTCCAGGGTTGGTCTCTGCTCAAAAATGTAGCTTATTTTGGAAAACATGAGCAGAAATGGTTCAGCTGTTTTTCCAGCATGAGGGGAAAACATACTTTTATAAAAGATTTCTTGACTTTTTTTTTCTAACAGCTCTACAGTGGAGGCCTGTGGGTAGCAAGTTTAAATGTGGCATGGAAATGGCCATCTCTGAGGAGAGAGAACCTTTAATGCTCCATGAGGCTTTATTTTGACGTGGGCTGAAGGAAAAGGATGAGAAAGGCTTGAGGGAGGGCTCTTGCAATGCACCTCCTCAGCTGTGCAGCTGCTAAGTCTCTCAGAAGAGGGGCTTTCTGTTACAGTCCTTGTAAAGTGTGTGCGACAGGACATTCTGGTGGGATCTGGCCGAACTATTGAATTTCCATGTGGGACTGGCAAATTTTGGCAAGTCAACAGAGCTTCGAAATCCTGTAACGTGGAGGTGCTGCTGCTTCTAGGGGTATTTTTTCTTTGAAAAACAACCCAGCCTTAGGAAATTCCATATCAAAAAATCTCCAGCTAAAGGACGTTAATGTTGTGCAGCTGAGCACCCAAGTCACAATATGCCACTACTAAGGATGCACTTGCCACTTAAAACTTTGTCCCCTGGTGCACATGCATTGTGCATTAGTGTTTAAAGACAAGATCACAGACAGTTTCTCAAATAATATATTAACATAACATTTTTCACCAACCTTAGATATATTTCACTAGTATCATGTAACTTTCATTTCCATATATTTACATTAATATCATTGTTATAATGGTCCAGTGTATCTGTATCAACTTACAAATTTTATACAAGTTCTCTTCACTCTACAACACTTACTTTAATTTATTATTTATTTGATTAACATCAACAGTGTGCATTTATCATCCATGTACTGTGTACTTGTGTATACATGTCTTTTTTTTCTTCTTCTTGCATTGCAATCATGGTTAATGCTACACTGGTCGTATAGTGGTCCTATGTTTTGATCCACAAAAGGTGGGTCATATTTCCCCCTGCTAATGCACATCCTCTATATTCCTTGATTCTCTGGCCACAGAATGGCTTTGGAATTTTCTTCTGGCAAATGAAATATACAGAGGCCCTTAGGAAAAACCATTTCTCTGCTTTGTGTGGCAGAGTGCAAACTACTCTCTCTGACCCAGCAGAACAGGGCAGCTGTGCTAATTGGCTTACTGACCTCTCTCTGTTGCATCCCAGGTATGGAACGGCTGAATTGTGTGCTCATCACATCTTTGTGATAGCCCATTTGGTGAGTAGCGTGGCAGAGTCCAGTGTATGCATGTACATGTGTGTGTTTGGGCAGACAGGTTTTCTGCTTTTTTTGAACAGATCATGCAAGGGATAGGGAGTAAGGAGACCTGAGTTCTAACTCCAGCTCTCCTGCAAACTTCATAAGTGACCTTGGACAATTTTCTCATCCTTTCTGTGCTCCATCTTTGCTATCAGCAAATCCCTCCCTCCCTCGGGAAAATCCCTCCCTCCCGAGGGTTAATAATTAGCACTTGTAACACTATAAATATATTTAGTGGTGATGTAGGTAAACAATCTGAAGGAAGGGGTGAGAAATATACAGACACTGCAAAACTGATGCAAGAGCTGCTAATTTAGAAGTTACTATAGTGATCCTATATGATAAATTAGAGGAATGGACAGAGAAGAATTCAGTGAGATGCCCCAAGGATAAATAAGAGCAAAGTAGCATACATATCCATTAAAAATAGCACCATGAAGTAGAAAACAGTAAACCAATAGATGGCATGTAATGCAGGGAAAGACCTGATTGTAATGGTGATGAACTACCAGTGATCACTCATTGGGATGTTTTGATTAAAACGGGAAATGTAATCTTTGGTGTAAGAGGAAAATTTGTTGCTGCCTAAACAGAGGCTCAATATTAATTTTTTAGGTCATTTTCCTGAGTCACAAAAGTCTTTGAGTCTTTGAAAATGCCAACCTGTAGGATTCATGTGCTGGGAGCAGTGTATTTTTCTTAATTTGATTAGATCAATTCCCTGTTATCCTAATTCAGATAAAGTCTTGCCCTGGCGAGTGTTACCAGCTCTCTGTCTTGGGGGTCCTGCTGAGGCGTATGCTGTTCTTGATGGCTCCAGACCACCAGGCAAGTATAGCACCAATTTCTCTGGTCTTCTGCTAAGCCAGATAGAAATCCAATTGGCCTCCATTAAAACACAAGCCATCCATTTTCAGTTCACTAGAAACAGGAGGGTGGAACAAACAGTGGTTTCTTGCCATCCTGATGTTGTGAGATGATAAAGCAGAGCAAAAGATAACATACCAATACAGAAAGGACACAGGGGGTTACCTTAATAACTAACTCAGCCCCTGTGCTGTCCCAGAAGTGCCTTCTCTTACCACTTTAGTTTTTCCTTATTATCGATCCAGCTTTGCTTTGAGTTTGTTTTGCTATTTTCCCTGTGTTTTAGACTGTTTCCCAGTTGAGAGATGGTGAGAGTTAACTCTACTTATTCTAATAATGACTAGATCACTTTTGAGTCACAGTATAAAGGGAGACCATAGCTGTACGTATAATGTTTAAAGGCACAATAGGCGTGTTGGTTGCAAATAAATGACAGTTAAATAGTAATAACAAAAAACAACAATGCTGAGATAAATTAATAAATGGTGCACAGGAAATCACTAGGGTAAAAAGGATACTCAGCTAAGTGGTTTAGTTGCTTGGAAATCAGCCTCCACATGCTTCATAAGAAAAGGCTGAATAGCAAAACATTTATGATTTTGTCAGTGTTTTATATTAGTATGCTCCTCTATGGTATGTCTGCACCAAGCTTTACAAAAGCAAGTGTCCAGTGTGGGAATGGTGGCATTTCCCTGCTGAGCTGCAAATCTGTAAAAAAGTCAAAGGGGATCAACCTTGGTTGCTGCAAACTTTTGGACTAGGAGTTAAAGGGCTGACCCTGCGAACCCTGAGGCACTTTTAGAACTCTCGGTGAAGTCCATTGGTCTGCTCACATGGATAAAGTTACTCAGTGAGTAAATGTAAGCAGGAATGGGCTCTTCAGTAGTAGGGAGATTGATTAGTGACGGGGAGCCCAACATCAGACTGCTTTCCATGGGGAATTGTTCCCCAAACTTCTGTGGCCAGATCTTCAGTTGTCATTGCTCCAGTGACTTCAGTGGAGCAAAGCAGATTTATGCTTGCTGAGGATCTGGCCCCTGTTCTCTGTTGCTATCCCCCCGTATGGTTGAGAGTACCATTTGCTGAATCACACTGCCTCAGTAGATCATTCTCAAACACCTCATGTGGGGCTCCTTGTCAACTGTCAAGAGTAGCACAAATCAAGGTACAGTTTGTAGGTTTTGCAACTCATCACTTCCAGGTTCTGTCCTGATCTCTTTAATTAACATTTACTTTGACTTGCAGGTGGAGTTTACCCAAAAGTTTCCTCCCAAAGAAGCAGAGAACCTGCTCCTGTGGCAGCATATTTCTCTCAAGGCCCTAACTCCCGATCTTAGGAAACAAGTGGCGCACCAGCTCTGTGCGGTGGGGCTCACACAATGCAGGCAGTGGCTGAGCGGCAGGTGCACTCTGGGAGAACTCCCACCTGTGGTAAGGGAAGGTGTGACTGTTCATTAAACCTAGAGCTCCTAAGCGATAAGGAGCCTATTGTTACTCTTCCCCTATTGTGCACCCTTACAGTATGTTTAGATTGCAAGCTCTCTGGACTAGGGAGTGTCATTTTATTATGGGCAGGTCTACACTACAAACTTGCATGGCACAGCTGCACCGATTCAACTGCGCTGCTGTAACGCTTCTGGTGAAGACACTCTAAAGCCGATGGGAGAGAGCTCTCCGGTTGGCTTACTAACTCCACCTCCCCAAGAGGCAGTAACTATATCGGTAGGAGATGCTCTCCTGCCAATATAGTACTGTCTACGGGGGGGCTAAGATTGGTGTAACTACGTCGCTCAAGGGTGTGGATTTTTCACACCCCTGAGTGACATAGTTATAGTGAAGTAAGTGTGTAGTGTAGACCTGGCCTATGTATGTGTACAGGGTGTAGCACAGTGGGGCCCTGATCTAGGCCTCTAGGAGTCACTGCAGTACAATATTATGAAGAGAGCTATCTTCTCCCCTCTCCCCCAGTAAATGCAGGCTAATAATTCTTAGTAGCAAAAATGTCAGATAACTCCTGTGTCAAAGGGAAAGCTAAGTTTCAACTTTTGACCAACTTTCCAGAGGGCTGATTACTGAACAGCTCTGGCAGCCACAATGGGAGTGGCTATTTGGCATTTTTGAAAGGCAGGTTGCTCATTTAGGTGCCCAAATATGGAATTAGGAACCTAACTTTAGACTCCTATTTTTGAAAATCTTTTGGATCAGAAAGAGCTTATCTTTGGGCATATAGTGCCTCCCTTGCAACGTTGTGTTCACATCTCATGTGTCCGCTAACAATAGTTAGCGAAAGCTCTGCGGATCAATAATTATTTTCATTATTTTTTGATCTCTTGCCGAGCATACATACAGTGTTCTCACTTAGACTTCTGGTGCGGTTTCGACTAGAAGATTTCTTTTAAGTGATAAGGTCTCTGCTGTTCTCGGAAGCTGGCATACCTGAAAGACAAGCACTGGTTTTCCTTGACAACCTAAGGAGAGTTGAGTGTGACTGGACATCTCCACCTAAAAGGCCAGCAATTCAGGGTTCTGCTTCCTATGTTTCTGTGGTGATTAATAAGACTGCTAAACCCTCCCCTCCTTATTTGTGCAGAACTCCTACTGAAGTCAGTGGGAGTTTGCTCTGTGAAGGTGGCATGAGTTGGCTTATAGCCTGGTGGACTAGCAGAATTACAATACTGACACATTGGGCCTCTTGTGAGGCTTTAGCAGCTGAATCCAGTAGGCCAGGTATTTACCTTGCTCCTGACCCTTCTCTCCATCTCTGCTAGAACGTTGCTCTCTCTGTCTTGCTGACTGTGTGCAATTCTGCTGGCGACACTCTGGAGGCAGGACTACAGGCAGCAGCGTTGGGAGCTGCTAGTCAGCTCTGGGCTCTCCTCAAGGGCAAGCAGGTGAGGGAACTCACTGTTCCAACAATGTAAGGCATCGCTACCCTGAAGGGCTCATGATGTTCCACCATTTGTGTGTTACCAAGGCATTTAACTGGGGTTGGAGCAACTCCCTAAAGCGCAGTGCAGCTGAGTCCCTGAGCTTCAAACATCATGGTGTCTGAGCCATTGCCAGTGCTTTGGGGATTGAATTCTTCCCACAAGCACGTTTGCCCCCAGTGATATGTAGCTGGAACTGTCCATGTAGTGATGAGTCATATATTACCCCACATCAGTTTTAGATGGACTGTTGTCTAAAACGAGTCTAGAAAGGGGATTGAACCCCAGAAATGGGGAAAAAACAAATTAATAGAACCAGATGAACCAGCCAGTAGGGATAACTTAATGACCTTATTTTACTAAGAACAAACAAAGGTAATATAGGATTTCCTTGTGATGAGAATTGGATTAATTCTGGCCCTGTTTGGCACTGAACTGCCTGCAAAAGCACTATTCTGAGCTCAGGCGAGGGATGTGGTTGTGCAGAAAACAGAACATAACCATCTTCTGTAGAAACAACATGTGTTTAACTCCTTGCACTGGTGAAAAAAAGAACATAGAGACATTTGATAAAGTCAGAATTTCCTTTACAGTGTTCAAATCTAGTGATTACTGTTCTTTCTTCCAAGATCTAAATGTATAAGGCCAGATCCACAGCTGTTGTAAATCAGTGTAACTCCATTGACTTTATTTGAACTGTGGGAAGACTCTGACTTCAGTGGAGTTATTCCAGTTTATACCAGCTGAGGGTCTGGCCCATGTTTTTTTAACCCATTACTAATGTGAATCATAGAATATCAGGGTTGGAAGGAACCTCAGGAGGTCATCTAGTCCAACCCCTGCTCAAAGTAGGATCAGTACCCAACTAAATCATCCCAGCCAGGGCTTCGTCAAGCCTGACCGTAAAAACCTCTAAGGAAGGAGATTCCGCCACCTCCCTAGGTAACCCATTCCAGTGCTTCACCACCCTCCTAGTGAAAAAGTTTTTCCTAATATCCAACCTAAACCTCCCCCACTGCAACTTGAGACCATTACTCCTTGTTCTGTCATCTGCTACCACTGAGAACAGTCTAGATCCATCCTCTTTGGAACCCCCTTTCAGATAGTTGAAAACAACTATCAAATCCCCCCTCATTCTTCTCTTCTGCAGACTAAATAATCCCAGTTCCCTCAGCCTCTTCGCATAAGTCATGTGCTCCAGCCCCCTAATCATTTTCGTTGCCCTCCGCTGGACTCTTTCCAATTTTTCCTTCTTGTAGTGTGGGGCCCAAAACTGGACACAGTACTCCAGATGAGGCCTCACCAATGCCGAATAGAGGGGAATGATCACGTCCCTCGATCTGCTGGCAATGCCCCTACTTATACAACCAAAATGCCATTAGCCTTTTTGGCAACAAGGGCACACTGTTGACTCATATCCAGCTTCTTGTCCACTGTAACCCCTAGGTCCTTTTCTGCAGAACTGCTGCCTAGCCTCTCGGTCCCTAGTCTGTAGCAGTGCATGGGATTCTTCCGTCCTAAGTGCAGGACTCTGCACTTGTCCTTGTTGAACCTCATCAGATTTCTTTTGGCCCAATCCTCTAATTTGTCTAGGTCCCTCTGTATGCTATCCCTACCCTCCAGCGTATCTACCATTCCTCCCAGTTTAGTGTCATCTGCAAACTTGCTGAGGGTGGAGTCCTTGGGGCACTCCGCTTGATACCGGCTGCCAACTAGACATGGAGCCATTGATCACTACCCGTTGAGCCCGACAATCTAGCCAGCTTTCTATCCACCGTATAGTCCATTCATCCAGCCCATACTTCTTTAACTTGCCGGCAAGAATACTGTGGGAGACTGTATCAAAAGCTTTGCTAAAGTCAAGGAATAACACGTCCACTGCTTTCCCCTCATCCACAGAGCCAGAATGAAAACCATTGCGATCTGGAGTAGCACACCAAAACCCAGGGCCTCCTATTGGTCTGCAGCAGAAGGTTACCTAACCAACACTTCCCACAAACAGTGTATCTTGCTGCTTTTGAAGGTGCAGTCAGGGGAGTCGTCATCGTTTGTGCTCAGATGTGGGTGGTGGGGGGAGGGGGAGAATAACTATTTGCCAAATGGTTATGGAGAAAATAGGTTGAGACACATCTTACTTGTTTGGTTTCTGTGAGAGGGGCGGGATACAAATGCCATAGATTTTAAATAAAAATATCACTAGTAGAGCATCCTATAATATGCAACCATCCTAAACAATTCTTTTTTCCTCCTCTTTGATTATCATGAACATAAGAGTGGCCATACTGGGTCAGACCAATGATCCATCTCACCCAGTATCAGTCTTCTGACAGTGGTCAGTGCCAGATGTTTCAGAGGGAATGAACAGAACAGAGCAATTATCGAGTGATCCATCCCGTCGTCCAGTTGCAGCTTCTGGCAGTTGGAGGTTTAGGGACACCTAGAGGATTGGGTCCATTGATGGACCTATCCTGCAGGAACTTAGCTAATTCTTTTTTTAACCCAGTTATGCTTTTATGCTGGACTTGCCAGAGTTTTTGCTTCTTTCTATTTTCCTCAGTAGGATTTGACTTCCAATTTTTAAAGAATGGCTTTTTGTCTCTAACTGCCTCTTTTACTCTGCTGTTTAGCAATGCTGGCATTTTTTTGGTTCCGTCTACTGTTTTTTAACATGGGGTATACATTTAGTTTGAGCCTCTATTACGATGTTTTTAAATAGTCTCCATACAGTTTGCAGCCATTTCACCCTTATGACTCTTCCTTTTAATTTTCATTTAACTAGCATTGTCATTTTTGTATAGCTCTCCATTTTGAAGTTAAATGCTACTGAGGCGAGTTTCATTGGTAATTTCCATCTTACAAAGATGATAAATTTAATTACATTATGGTCACTGTTACTGAGCGGTTCAGCTATATTCACCTCTTGGGCCAAATCCTGTGCTCCACTTAGGACTAAATCAGCAATTGTCTCTCCTCTTGCGGGTTCCAGGACTAGCTGCTCCATGAAGTAGTCATTGTTGGTGTCTAGAAATTTGATCTCTGCATTTTGTCCTGAGGTGACATGCACCCAGTCAGTATGAGGATAGTCAAAATCCTCCATTATTATTACATTTTCTGCCTTTGTAGCCTAATTGTCCTGAATGTTTCACAGTCACTGTCACCATCCTGGTCAGGTGGTTGATAGTACTTTCCTACTGCTATACTCTTGTTGTTCAAGCATGGAATTTCTATCCATAGAGATTCTATGGTACAGTTTGATTCATTTAAGACTTTTACTTCATTTGACTCTGTGCTTTTTTTCACTCCCCCACCAGCATGACCTACTCTGTCATTCCTATGTATTTTGTACCCTGGTATTACCACATCCCATTGATGTTCCTCATTCCACTGAGGTTCTACAATATCTAATATATCAATATCCTCACTTAACACCAGGCACTCTAGTTTGCCCCTCTTAGTATTTAGACTTCTAGCCTTCCTCACTGCTTCTCATGGGAATTGTATCTGTGATTATACTGTATTTGTCTGAAGTTAAATGCACAATATTTGCAGTCTCGTGCTTTTTATAAACCAGTTAAATTGCCTTGTAAACAGAAGTGCTATGATGCTAAATAATATGCTCTTCTGATCTTGTGCAGGTCTCAAGTCAGCCATGCCTCCAGCAGACACTTTGCTTGCTCCTTCCACTACTGGAATTTTTCATCCAAACATTAGACCCTCAACTGATAACTCAGGTAAGAGACATCTTTTTGTGCAATCTAACTCATGCATGCTGGATCTTTGTTATTAAATGAGATCACATCTAATGAGTTGTTTCATGGTCTGATTTCTACCACTTAGCAAGAATGAAGAGTTCTTAACTTTTATTTTGATTCCTTCCTACACCGTTTTGATGGCTTTGCTATGGTGTTTGCTACACATTGGTTCACATTTCTTTTGGGACTTTCACAGTCTCATTTTTTTCGCTGGGCTTAGGGCAGTGATGGTGAATGATGTATGTTTCTCTTTCAAATGCACTTTGGGCTTTTATGTAAGGATTCCATCTTTTTATTTTTTTGGGGGGTAACATTTTGAAAAGTTCTGGGATACTTGCTTTTGTTCCATTGATGCATCTATTGTCCTGATCTAACTCTCTCTAGCTTTGAATGAACTCAGACTTGATGGTCATTGCAATCCCCAGTTGAACAGTTTTTGTCTTATTTGTTTCTTATTTGATGGGGCTTCATCCAGATCTATTTTCCTGCAGGTGTTTGCAATGCAGACTTCCCTCCTTGAGTTGGATCCCCCAGATCATGTTCGCTTGGCAGCACTGGATCTTCTCTCTTCTATGGGGAAATTGTTTATGCCACAAGAAATTCAGGTAAATGCACTGGAGGCAACATTTTGTCCTGAGCCATTCGTATATATTATTAATGGGTTGTGTTCATGGAATATGTAGTACAGTGGCACTGGTTCTTGGAGACATTTATTTTCAAACCAGGACATACTACTTCTATGGCAGTTTTATATTCTAGTGAGACTGTTTCTGTTACTCGCATTGCCTGTAGGATGCTGGGTGCATTCATTTGTATATTATTTCCCAGGAGCTTGATAGAAGGGCTGATGTCTGAGCTCCAGATGGGAAGGAATGGGTTTTGTGTACATGTTCTCTCTTACTATGTTTTTTGCCAGCCAAGGCTGTTGCAGACTTTCTCGACCTGTAGACTCTAGGCTTCTGACAGAAATATTTCTTTAATGATGAATCAAGGGGGCAGGATATGCTGATTAGCCCTCCACAAAAATCTGACTAGTGTGCGCTCCCCTTTCAGGGGCAAGTTATACCCAAGCTGTCACATCTCTTTGCCTCTCTGTTGGCCGACAAGACTTGGCTGATTTACCAACATGCACTGGAGGCATTCACTCAGTTTGCAGAGGTAAGAATGATGCCACATTGGATGTACATATTTAGCTCTGTTAATATTTCCTTGTATATCAGTTCCTCTAGCATCTTAATTTTTGTTGCTCTTCTCCGAACTCCCTCCACTTTGTCAGTATCTATCCTGGAGCAAAATGCTTGAAACTGACCTCCGTATTCCATATGCTATTGCACGAAAATAAAAGGATTAACAAAATGCAAGAGAAATACAGTGGCCCTAGGAAGCGGAAGTGAAGGAAGAACAGATTTCCAGTATTGTTTTAAATACCATCCCCCCCCCCCCACACACATCCTCAACACAGAACATTTTCCAGATTGTTTTGTAGATGCTCTACGGTTCATCTTTATTATGGCTGCATTGAACGTTAATATACTAACCAACTTTTTCTTGCTCAAAACCTTTGACAGACAACAAAGCATGAAGATGTAGTGCCTCAGTGCCTTAATTCTGAAGAAACTAAAAACAAAGTTGTTTGCTTTCTGGCCAAGGTATCTTATTGAATTATTTTACTGTTGTCTTGCTTGATAGAAGAGGGGCTCTTGCCCACAGTAAACTGACACAAGACTGCTCTGTAATTGGAATCTGATTATTTGTTTTCTCGAGCCTTTTCATGCCTGCTAAAGTTGGCTAGAATGAGGAACAGTGATGGCAAATGCTGTGCAAGTTTCCACCACAGACTTTCCCAGTGCGCCTCAACTCTGATTTGTTAACATCCCCTGCTATTCCCTTTCTGAGCACAAGGTGACTAAATTGGCTGGTGCTTCGGGTAAGGTGAAGAGGCATCCATTAGTGAGATGACAGAGTGCAGCTCACTTGTGTTCTAAGCAGTTTTAGCTCCCCTGTGCAGAGGCAAAAGGCCGGGTTCTCAAGCCCCTTTGCTGTGTGTGTCATTTTTTTGTGTGTACCAGTTAATGGGCACCTAAATGAAAATAAGTGACTAGCAGAGTGCATTGATTTTCTTCATGCAGAAGCCTCCACAGAGAGTATTTTGTACTTCCTAGAGGAGGACTAGTAAATGCACTGAACTCATGACCATTAAAAGGTGAAGAGTCATCTCTGCTGTTAACAACCCTTGCCTCCTTTGATGTGCCAGCTTTCCACTGGACAGCAGCACTTCAGAGGGGACAGCACAGGAGTTTTTGCCCACTGTACCGCATAGGGGAGAGGCAGCAAAGCAACTGCTACCTGCGAATGTCAGACACGAAATGATGCTCCAGCATAGTTGTTGTAGCCCACATTAGACTGAGTTGTTCTCCCAGCCTAGTGCCATACGTTTGCTGGTTGAAGCCTTGCTGAAGAACTGCAGTTTAAAAAATAAAAAACAGATTACGTTAAAGAGTATTTCCATTGCCACAGTGTAATAGTCAAGGGGTGGAGTCATGGAGGCTGGAAATGCTGCTGTGTTTGGGTTTGTTGTTACCGCTCCTGTGGCTTTTCCCTCAGGCAAGGCAGGGAGAGGAGACAGCAGAAGCAAGGGCAGAACGAGTGAAACAGGAAAAGGCTGTCTGCAGTGCACACTTGCTTAAAATGAAAATGGATGGAGAATGGGGCTCAGCATTAGAGGTAGGTGTCTCTTTGAAAGCAGCTGGACTAGGTTTGTATTAGTCCTTAGCCGTGCCCTCATCCATGGGGAATGGCGCTGTCCTCCTCCCAGCACTTGCTGTAAAGAGGGCATACCCTCCTGAGCTGACAGGGAGTCTTGCCCTCACCCACCTGCTGCACTTCAGTGCTGGGCTCTGTACTGCCCTTGCAAATGCCACAAACTCTCTCCTCTTTCTGGGCTGAGGGAGAGAGCAAGGGGTGAAGGCACCTCAGAGGATCTGGGAAAAGCTGTGCCAGTCAGGAGTCCTGGCCTGCCCCAGTAGCCTCTGGTAGTCCTATCCAACCTGTTAGACTGTCATAAGCAAGGGCTATGTGATTTCACTTCTGCTGAGGGAGAATTCATTTCTCTCCCTTCTCCCCCAGTTGTTACTAGAGGGGGGGTTTTCAAGAAGTACCCTATTGCCCTGTACTCACTCAAGGAGGAGCATTTAAAGGGGAACCTGTTGGCCCTCAGCCTTACAACACTGAAAGGAGCCCCCATGCCTGTGTTAATTGGGATACTAAACTTTATATTGAACCAGTAAGTGAGACATATAAAACTGTTAGGAGAAATTCTCACAGCTTTAAGCACTGGCTTTAAACAGAGAGGTTGAAACCTGCATGAAACATCCCAGCTGAAGCAGCTTGTGTGTGTGACTACATGGCCTGGTTATTTTTCATCGTTGAGGATTTGGCCTGTATCAGTGGGATTGTAAGTAAATAGTAGAGGTTTAACATCTCACGTTTTAATCTTCAGCCCTTGGCAAAGAGAGCTTGTCACTCACCCTGTGAGGAGCAGTACAAGTCTGCTATAGACACTGCAGAGAGAGCACTGGAAGCTGTGAAACTGCTGCTGCAGAAAGGACCGTCTCCTGCTTGGCTTGCAGTGAAATTAGAGGCTCTACAGGCAGCAGTAGCCATCTTAAGAAACACTGTACGGTAAGGTGTTAGGCACTGGCTTAACACTGGGGGAGCTCACAGCTGGAAAACGAACAAACTGAAAATAAGGGGAGTTACCAGTGATACCCTTCTACAAAACACCCTGATTTTGATTCACCCACTGTAAATAGTGTTGTGTTTAATGTGCCTGAATGTGTTAACTTTTTTGGAAGGGTTAAGATGTTGAATTTAACTGACTCCATGCTGTGTAAAAGAGCTGATTTCATATGCTGCTCTAACTTGGACTAGGGAAAGCTTAACAGGCTTGTGTAATAAGGTATTTGAAAGAGAAAATGGACTGTAATTGTCCCCGTTACATCTACAGAGACAGACACTTTTGTATTAAATTGTTAACAATGAATGCGTGAATAGTTTGAGTGTATTTTAAAAACCAAGGCTCCATTCTCTCATGGAGAAGTCAGGCACCTGAGCTGCTGTTTCACTCGGACACTGTACTGATCTTTTGAAAATAATCTTTATTGGTCAGGTTAAAGAGCAGAGTGAATTTAGAGCTATGATACAATTTGTGTTAAACACACTTTCCTTGTAATGGTCTCCTAGCACACTGCACCCACCTAGCCATTCATTCTGGTAGAACAGCAATAAATAGGTCATCCAAGTAAACTGTACAGTCTAAAATCATTGCAGTTTGCATCTAAAAAGTTAAAAGGAGCCCCTCCCATGTGGCTTATTTTTCTAATAAAAAGAAATGGCACAAACATTAATAAAATTTATCTGAACTAATGCAATTTTCATTTATTTTCAAGAGTTTTCCAGAGCAGTGATGATTCCTGAAACAGAAAAGTATAAATCACTCTTTCAGCTCCAACACACAAACCATTCAAGCTATTCCAATTTCCACTAGCCAGGGCTATGCACTTCACTTGTACATATGGCTTCAGCACAGGCTGGAAAAGGAGCATCCTGGTATAGGAAGATAGGCTGCATTGGGCTCTCGCCTGCCGCGTTGGTGAGGTAATAATCTAACACATCCTGGAAGCAATAGGCCATAGACCGCCCTTGTTTTTTCCCCATCCATCACCAGTTCGTATCATCTTCCCAGTTCACCTCTTCCTCTTCACCCCAGCCTGCAGTTTCAGCCTAGAATAATTACATAAACTGTGTCAGTAAGAACACACCAAATGACAGTCATGCAGAGCTACATCCATCCATGTAAAATAGATACATTAACCTAACCCCTGAGAACTATGCCAGACATCAATGGGGCCCCCTGTTCCTGGGGAATTCCTGTTTGGTTCACAGCTGGCGGAGAGTTGTTGGAGTTCTACCTCCCTGAACCAGGTTTTTGGTAATCCTCTGGCCTTTGAGTAAACTGCACAGCTGGTCAGTTACTGGCTGGAGCAGCAGCAAAATGAATGTGCTGTAATGCCATGCACACCTTCTGTGAGGGCCTGGTAAGGGGGAAGAGAGAGACAGTCCTTGCCCCAAAGCCACTAGTACTAGAAACCACCTCAGCAGACTCAACAAGAGTGTCAGGTTTGCTGGGCTACCACCAGCTCTCACCCTAAACCCCAGGCAGTTCCAAATCCAGCATCCCCCATTAAATCTTTATATAGACATAGTAGATGAAGCGGTAAGTGGCCTAAATAAAATATTACTAGGGCTGAAAATAAAAAGGGGTTACCAGCTCCTACTTACCTAGATCAATGACCAGACCTGTCTGTACTTTGCCTACACTGAGCACCCACAGGTACTTGTAGTGACAATATTTTTTTCTGAGCAGAGCTCAGCTGTCCCACTTCTAATAATTTACTCCCTCTGGTACCAGAAAATAAGCAAATATCGTGCTATTTTTAGAAACAAGCCATCTCTTCCTCCCAGAACAATTCAAATGAAGCACTTGAAACACTGCATTAAGGGGGAACTTTGGTAGGCAGTTAAAACATCAGCTGCTTTAAAAATGTCACTTTGGGTGAGGTTTCAATCCCCCCTGGAAAGCTCTGGTAAAACAGCTTTGCAGAGAAGTTCTGTGCATCATTCTAAGAACCTGAACCCTCCCACCCCAGAGGTAGGAACTTATACGCTACAGACAGGCACTAGGGTTAGCTCATTGAGCCAGGCTGTGCAGCGGATGCAATGGCCATGCCCATCACAGTGATGCCTGGCTCATAAATACATCCCTTCCCTGCAGTTTTGTGAGGAGCCACCATGGAGCTCTGCACTAAGATTAAAATAGCCCTCCCCGTGAAGCCTGTTCTCCCTGTCCTAGTTAGGTCAGCTTTTAGACTGTTCCCCCCTGACTAAAATAAAATCCTTGTGCTGCATGTGGTTCAGCCACGCACTGGCCTGAGACACAGGAGATCCAGCATCAACTCCCTGCGTGACCCAGGCAAGTCACTAACCTCTATCTGATAACACTTCCCTACCTCCGAGGGATGTTGCATTAGGTGCTCAGATACTATGGGGGGGCATATCAGTACATCAGATAGCAGTGGTTTCCAAAGGTGGTGTGCGTTAAGCTAGCACTGGATCAATTATTTAACACAGATAGGAGAGTCAGGTATTTTGCAGTCAAACAATGGTTTAAAACCAGTCTCTGTCCCTGCTGTGACTCTCAAATGGGAGTAAAGTACTATGGCAGCAAGGTGGGGTAAGAGCAGCAGTCCCCCTGTTCTTAGCCATATCACTCAGCAGAGGAACACATGCTATTAACACAGGAACTGTTATCTCTAAGGGAGGTGAGGGCTCCTCCCTTCCAAAGGGCTGTAGAGGAAGGGGTCTCTATACACCTCCCTCTCTCCATACCCTGCATGCTCTGGTGGCAAGTAGGGGGATGTTCCCTTTCCTGCTAGCACTGACAGTGATTGTGCTTTGTCCTGCAAGGCAGCCTCTCAGTCCCTCAGCTCCGATAGCACTACCACTGGCTGTGACAGGTCACGCTGTTCCATTTCAGAGACACAGGCTGTTTGGGGAGGGAGAATAGCCTTTCCTGCTTCGCCCCTTCTTAGGAGCACCCACAGCCCAGGACTCAGTCAGATAAGCAGACTGTTCCATGTGCAGAGCCATAACCCTGTCCCTCACTGCTGCAGAACATAGCAGCAGTCCTTGGACTCTGCGACAATCCATCAGAACTTCCAAGTCATGTGCCCAGTTCAATAAGCAGCCTAGGACTTTGTTTTGA